ATACACAATGTTTCTTCCTGTACAGATTGTATCAATGCTCGCGTGACAGATAAATGTTGTATTTATCAAGTTTGTATCAATGCTCGCGTGACAGATAAATGTTGTATTTATCAAGTTTGACAACTTTTGATTCGACCTATCAATTAATTATGTGCATTATGTTTTAAATCAGTGTTTTTTGTTCGAATCTAGTGTCCATATTTTAATTAAACATATATGTCCTTTTAGCGAGTAGAATAATTTTATTTTGAAAGATACTTAAATCATGACTTACATATATATATAAAACAACATTTAATTTTGAAATTAGATTTTATATTAGGCTAACCTTCATAAGAAATATCTTATTTATAATTAAAACCTCATTATAAATACTGAAATGTTAAATATCACACGCATAACTTTTTCAACATAGGTTTCTAACCTAATTCAAAGAACTACAAATTCCATGTTCTTAATTTTGCCCAATTCAAACTCAAAATAGTCAGAATCATATTTGAAGTCAAAAACACATTATTAATAAACTGACATCACTTTTAAATAATATGTTTTACGCCCAAGATAATTGATATTATTTGTGCAAGGCAAAAACAAAACTTGATTATAACAATTAATCCATTGATAATCTGTCTGTAAATTTACAGAGAAACAAAAATTCAAACAGTGGCTTCAAGCTCTACCCTCAGAGCAAAATAAAAATTAAAAAAATAAAAACATAAAACAGAAACCCTAACTAAAACACTTAAGCACGTTCGCCGCGAATGCGCCTAGCCAATTGAATATCTTTAGGCATGATTGTAACCCTCTTAGCGTGAATTGCGCACAGATTCGTGTCTTCAAACAGACCGACGAGGTAAGCTTCCGCCGCCTCTTGAAGGGCGAGCACGGCGTGGCTCTGGAAACGCAAATCGGTCTTGAAATCCTGTGCAATTTCACGAACCAGACGCTGGAACGGCAGCTTGCGGATGAGAAGCTCGGTGCTCTTCTGGTATTTCCTGATTTCACTGTTTTTTTTTTTTAAACGAAGATTAATTAGAATCCGCACCCAAATTAATTGCCGAAAATCAAAATTGAAACAAAATTAGGGTTAGGGTTTACCGAAGAGCGACGGTTCCGGGACGGTAACGGTGGGGCTTCTTCACACCGCCGGTGGTTGGGGCTGATTTCCTTGCAGCCTTTGTAGCAAGCTGCTTCCTTGGGGCTTTTCCGCCGGTGGATTTACGGGCAGTCTGCTTGGTACGGGCCATTGTTTCTCGCTTCGGAAAAAAAAAAACTTTAGGCAGAGAGAAGATGAATATAATTGGAGATTTTGATTGCAACGTGCGGATTGATTAATATCGGGGCGGTTTATATAGGAAGGGGTCAAAGGTGAATCTGTTTGAATCGTGGGCCCGGTTTTTGGGCTGCAACGGCTTTATTTGGTTAAAAAAGGGTAATTTTCAAAGAAGGTGTGGATCCGCGACGTTCCTTTTAACGCTTCCCATTGGTTGATAATTCAAATGAAGGGCTGTGATTGGTTGTCTGTGGTCGACGCGGATTGTGAACGATTTTTGTGCTTCTTTTGTGTCTGTAATTTGGCTGTTTTGTTTCTTGGCGACTCTGTGAGTTACTGCACGAGTTGGGTTGGCTTGTAACGTTATTTAATTAATATTTTATTCTATAAGGATTACAATTAAATTTTCATAATTTTTAGGCATATTTCAAAACATGCCAAAAATGTTATAAAATTAGAGGAAAAAATGAAAATTAATATTGTTATAAAAATTGATTAAATTTTGAAAAAACATATTTGGTGATCACTATTTTTGTAGACTAGTGAACATTTGATTAATTGATACAATGTTTTCTTATGGAAGAAAACTTTGCATAATGTGAATGAATACATATACGATTGATAAATAAGTTGATGTCCACACAAGAACAATGATACATGTAATAAGTTTATCCAAACAAAGTTATTTACATATTTTAAAGAACAAGACTATTAACAAAAAAAAAAGGACTACGTAGAACAAAATAGCAACAATATACAAATACGTCTAATCTAATTAGTTCTTTAAATTAGCATAAAATAAAATTTAAATTAAATAAAGAATATATATATATATATATAGTTAAACCTCTATAAATTAATACAATCAAGACTAGGAAAATTATATTAATTTAGCGAATTATTAAATTATCGAGTTAATAATTTAACACGTTTTCACCGAGTCGCGACCGAGAGAAACTATTATTTAATCGATGTTATTAAATTATTGAATATTAATTTATCGAGGTTCTAATGTATAGATGCTATATTATAATTATTAGATATGTTCCTAAGTTAAAGTTATATGAACAAAAGAAATCTAAATGATTATTTGTATATTAATATAAATTAATATTTCACATAATTTTATAAGTTATATTTTTATTGGTTGTAAATATTATTTTTAAATTATAAAATTAATAAATTATTACTTTTCCCATAATTTATAAAAAAATAAGATAAATTATAATAAATACTGTCCAAAGAAAGTATTGTTGGGCTTTTATGATGTCAATTTATCCAAACCACTAAAAGAAAGGTGGAGAAATATTTAAAAACCTCAATGGGCCGGCCTGCTTATATTTAAAATATCTATAATTATATTATTTAATTTAGTGCAGCTCAAGAGATTATTCACATTTATTTCATATGACGATTCAATTGTATGACTAATTATTATCGTTCTTGAGTATATAATCATCCAACCATTCATCCAAATTGTTAAAAATAATAAATAATGTAAAATATACAGTTTTCATTCCTCAAGTTTGCATTGATTTCACATTTGATCCCCAATGTCCTGATATTTAAAAAAATCAACACTTTTAGTCATGTTCCGGCTAATTTTCTGTTAGTATTAACGGAATGAAGCTTGTGCCGATCACTGCCTTAACTGAAGAATTAACGGTAAATTGACCAAAAGTGTTAAATTACTATAACATAAGGGACTAAATGTATTTTTTGTGAATATGCGGACCAAATGTAGAATTGGTGTAAACTTGAGGGGTGTAATTATTGTGTAGTAAAAATAGGGAAAGGATAGCCAAACAGAAGTCACCGCTAGAAAAAGGTTAAAAAAAAAAAAAAAAAAAAAAAAAAAAGGAAAAGAGGAATTAAAAAAGAAATAATGACGTGGCAGTAAGCAACTCTATTTAAAAGAAGAAAACACTAACGTCACTCAACTTGCCGTCACACATCCCTAGGATCTTCCACATCGTACGGCTCAGGACATGACCTTCACATTCATTCCGTCACCGACACTACAAACTTAAATTCCCCCGTTTTCCCACTATCCCATTAATAAACACACTGATAGTCACCCTTCTTTTACAGCTCCAGAAATTCATTGTAAATAAAAAAAGGATGACAAGGAAAAAAGAAAACAGAAAAAGACAAGCGAAAAGATGGTGTAATAAAATGGCGATGAATTGGGTACTGAGGTAAAAAAATTAATCCCCAAGAAGAGAGAGAGAGAAGAGAGAGAGAGAGAAGAAAAGGTGTGCTTTGTGGGTAATCAATCGTACATATTAGTTCAATGAGTTTGAGCAGATATTCTTGCATCACACATATATTTTCTCCATTTTTCGTTTCATTTCTTACTTCCCCCTTGTTAGGGTTTTGACTCTCCGGAACTTCAAAATTTCTCCCCCAATTCTCATCTAGTAAGCTCTTCACTTATTTCTTCAACTATGTTAGCAATAATTTTGTGATCATTTGTTCATTCTAGAAATTGGAGCTGGTTTTGTCGAATTTCTTACTTACTTTGAGTTTTTGTATACTGAATTTTTGGTGTGCGGTCTTCCTTTGATCGATTTGCAATTTTGGTGGTTGGGTTCGCACAATTGTCCACTGGGTTGGTTAATTTAAACATGCAATTTTTTATTTTTATTTTACAGTTCATTTGGTGTTTTTTATCCGGTTAGTTCTTCTGAATTTTGATTTTAGCTGAAATTGAGGTTGAGTTTGTTTGACTGAGTTGATGTCTGAATAAAGACAAGTAGTACTAGGGGTGGATGCAGCTGCCTTGATTGTTTCCTCAGTTGATATTATCCTTCTGTGTTAGTGAATTGTTCAGATTACGAAGCACTCGAAGTAGGCTTTATTTTATATTTAGAATGTACTGTACATAAGCAGTAGATTTGTTTGCTCGTACGGTTTAGCTTCGTAAATGTGATCCTACACATCTAATTCATTTCGTTTTTAGTTGTACGATTTCGGATACGTATAATTATGTTTCATCTTGACCTCCAAAATATTTGGTGAACTTTTATTTGGCAAACATGCAGAGAGTTTCCCGAGAATGAGTTGAGAACTTGAATTTAGTATAAATTTCGTTTTCCGTATGTAAGTTTTATTGCACTAGCTTCAACAAACATTTTTTAATGTTAATGGCCTTCAAATTAGTTAATTTGGCTTGTGTTGTGACATCATAGTCTAGACTTTTATTGTTTAGATTACGTACTCAATATAGCATATGGTGATAGTAATTGTTCAATGTATGTCTCGTTCTCGAATAATTGTTACAGTCTTCTCTAGATTGTCGAATTGGTGGCATTGTAGTAAATTTATTTCTCATGAATTAGTCGTTTCCTTTGCAGGGGAAGGTTCTTCTTCTGCTACCCTCGTATGATTTTGCTTGCACATTCTCCTTGTTCTGAATAGCTACTGCTGAATATATGCACAAAAACCGACCTTAGATGTAATTCCGGTCTTTCAGAATATCTGTCGCATGTTCTAGAATCTTCCAGTATAAAAGTCAACATTCAAACAAGTTGGTTGTTTTTCATTCTCGATCCTAGATGGACGATAGTGGGCATCGAGAAAATGGGAGGCATAAACCACCGCAGGGTCAGGTAAACTACTTATAAACTTATTTATCCTTGAAAATCTCAAGTAATGATTAAACTTATTACACGAGGATTTTTTTCACATCAAGATTTCCGTTTCTTGTTTTGTCAGTGGTTGATGCAGCAACAGCCGTCGATGAAACAGATAATGGGCTTCATGGCAGAAAGAGACGCCGCAATCCAAGAAAGAAACCTAGCCATCTCCGAAAAGAAAACCGCCTTAGCGGAGAGGGATATGGCCATTCTGCAACGAGATTCCGCCATAGCCGAACGAAATAACGCCATAATGGAAAGAGATAACGCTATCGCCACACTCCAGTATCGCGAAAACGCCATCAATAGCAGCAACAACAACATGTCCCCGTGTCCACCTGGTTTGTCAATCCCACGTGGCGTACAACACATGCACCAGCCTCAGCAACATCAACAGCAGCAGCAGCAGCACATAACATCATCATCATCATCAGTCCCAC